CGTTCGATAATTTATTGGCGATATTTGTATCCGAATCTAGTATACAAGCCTAAATACAAGAAAAATAAATTAATAATCCTTTTTTTATAAAAAGAAGTGAACCAGAGTATGTTATTACCTAATACGGCAATCAACGATGAACTTTTGAGTAATGAACGAGGTAAACCGATACTTTCAGCTTAATAAAGTGAAACTTTAATATTCGCGGAACTAGACTTTTAGTTTCAGAAAATAGTTATTTGTAAACTTTCATCTAATTTATTTGTGTTGCTTGTCACGGATTATCAATTCATGCCGCGTTCCGCAAAAGTGTGTCACAACCATCAACGTTTACTTGCAGTTTTCGAACAATTAGTAAAATACAGAACTGTTTTATATTCGTTATATAAAACTTTAATTAATTTTACTGAATTTTATTAGGAAAAATTAATATTTTTCTTACGAGAGACATTTATATGTTCGTATTAAAAACGCATGTTCAGGAATACGTTAGCATTATAATGAGTTATTTAATCTACCTAGTAAACAGAACGAAACTGGCTACATCTATTTCTAACAGAAATGCGTATTTAACTTGAAAATTACGAGAGACGGGCTTATTTGTACTACCACTCTCTCCTGCAAAGTGTTTTTAACACATGAACCATTGCATATTTAATGAGACGCCTTTAATTAACGCGATTATTTAACTTTGGTAACTCTTCCCTAAAGCTACTGTGAATACTATGTAGATTATGCTGTTTGGCACAACCCTGGTTCTGTAATGTTCGTTGAACGTGTGTACATACTTGATTCCACAGCCAACCGCACGTAAATATCGACAAAAAACGGATTGCGTAAGATTCCTATATCCATCGATTACAACCAAAGAACTCATATTATTGCGAGCAATGACACCGAACTTGAAGTCGTAAACTCATCGTTTTGTAACTATAAATCTTTCATGTGTATACTATGTGTTAATTGATTCAATAAGCATTTTGTACTTCACACTTTTAAGAAAATTTTTCATACAAATCTCAAACATTCTTTTCAAATGTTTTGCACTGCGAGAGAAAAAAAAATGGTTTCCTTAATTATCATAATTCAACATTAGTATATAGTTATTTTTTGGGATCACTATAAAGTTAATTTTTATATAAGTAGTTTTATATAATTACTATAAGTTTTAATAATACAAAATATAGTTAATATAAAAATAATAGCAACTCTCGAGAATATCAAAAGATAAAAACAAAGGACTAATGAGAGTTTTTCCTTTAGTTAGTGCGAGAATAAATTTGCAATTTTTCAACATATAAGACGTTTCGGGTTACTTATGAGTCATTTTCATTATATCTGAATAATTCCACATTGTTGAACCTTTCATGGCGAGACGAGAGAGTGACAAATCCATTTCCATTCATTTTAACACAAGGTTGGAAAATTAAGTGGTAACGAATAGAAGATGAAATCTATACGAAGTAGTTGAAGACGTTACCATGATTAAAAAAGAAGAAAAATGAAATTATGAGAAAATAAGTCACTCACCAGTGACATACACCATAAGAGTTATAATTAAAATATAGTCACAACTGTGCTATTACTAATTGTCACGCACACTATTTGAAAATTGTTACTTTTTTAAACATAGCTTTTTAAATATAATAAAAGAAAGATGTTTTTGAAATAAGACTTTTTGTATTGAAACACTTATTATTGTTACTTATTTAAGTATTGAGAAAATTTATGAAAAATTAAAAAAAATCTGTTATTTTAATATAAACTCTATTAATATTATTTAATTTTTTGCAGTATTTGCATATTAATACATTAGTAAAAGGATTCTAATGTGTTTAAATTTAATAAGTATAACAAAGTAAATGTTTTACTATAAAGAAATCTGTGATAAACAAATTTATAAAGATTACTTAGATTTTAATGTTGGATCAAAAGGATTCTCTCTCTCTCTCTCTCTCTCTTAACTATTTATTAACAAATTATTTTCTAAACAATATTTACAAACAATATCTAACGGATTTATACAACTAGATTAAAATTGCAAATTGACGGATCTCGAGCACCTTATATATATATTGTATTGCGTATCTGACACTCGCGTGCCACGCATATCAAGCAGGACATAAAAACGTGACCGTGACATAAACACGATTAAGTCAAGATAGTTACGAATAGACGGTTATGAGGTGGTTAACCTCGATTGTTTTAGATTTCAATTAGTATTTTAAGCGTGGCCTGAGTTCGATACTTTCCCATTGTCAGTCGTGTTTTTTCTTGGATGCTCATGCAACATCTCGTGTTAACTTTCAGCGCGTAACGTGGATTCCTCATTGCCTGAGATAACATCAGTCATGGCAGACCGTTACGTTAATTTTTTCCGGTTACTGCTCTCAATAAGACCACCAACAACTTCAATTTTAATATTAAACTATTAGGAAGCACGGCAACGCGATTAAATTATTCTTAGGAAAGGAAAGTTGTGATGTAATTATAATCATCCGTGCTGAGAACTCTACAGAGTATTTTCTTTCGATAAGCGGTGACTCTAATTGAAGGCGCGACGAAGAGAAAACATAAATCCAGTTTACAATTTGATTACATAATTATAAAACTTGATTAAGTGACAAAAATGTTAATGCTGATGCTGATTCGTCGAAGTGTAGAAAAAAAGTTAAATTACATTACAATTAAGTAACAACTAAAAAATAGGCTATAAGATTACGTTAAATGCTTTTATGCTAAACAAAAATATTAAAACATTAAACGAGATTCGACCGTTTTATGAGACTAATTTATTCTACGATGGAATTGCATTTTATTGCAATGAATAAATTGGTTAAATAACAAGTCATTTGGAGAATGTAATGAGATATAGTCTCATTATATCGCTGTAATTGTTATTTGATGATAGTTGAGGGGTAATCATATCGCAATTACTGAAGCATTACTGTCACTAAAAGAACAGATAATTATCTGTCTGATATTGTGAATCGCGAGAAAGGAGGCTGTGTTATTTGAAAACGCAGCTTCGTATATTGAAAAGTGTATTCTAACATTTTTACGTGATCACGCGAACACATCAATCCGCGCACTCTGTTCATGTTTATTTTCACTTTTCTGATTATATGGTTGGACAATAGAAACTACAAAATTAAAAAAGAAACACCAGGGTGTGCTAATTAAAGAGAGTGTGGAAACAACCTAGTGATATACATTTTATGAACTTTTCAGCAGCGTGAAACGGTTTTTTTTTTACGTAATTCGGATATTTGGTTCAATACCGAGTAGACAAACTTTTGATGACGATAACAGAGACGTGCGAAAGTTCTTCAATTTTGACACAAGAAACGCGAATCCCCGCTGAAACGGTCCGTCTAGAAATGTTAATAAGAATCCGCGCAGAGCAAGGGGATGGAAACGCGTTGGTTGTCCCTCGGCGACCGCAAATTTTCCTTGCGATTTCACTTTCTCCGATGTGGCATAATTGCACGTGTTACGAATCGTAATACTCGATTCAGCGCCGGTCGTTCATATAACGCAATCCTGCGATCGTGTTTCAACAATGTAGGACCTGCGAACCTGCAACTAACTTTTACGCACATTCACACGTAAACACATATACGCGACACGTGCAAGGTGTAACATGCTCTATCGGTAGATATTCCATCAAATAATGTATCGATATTGATTAGATACCATTATATCTCGTTGATAAAATAGATACGCATCACATTTCATTGACAAAAATCAAAACTTTTCATGAATATTTCGGATTTCCCTGTATGTAATCAGTTGCGATCGAATTGCAATACCGTCTAATTGGCACCGAAGCTTCTATGATATCCTGACGTTATCAAGCACAGATTGCATATTTGGAGAGACGATGCAAGATAACAAGTTAGAACTTTCTCATTTACGGGAAGTTGGAGTTTCTTGCGCGTGAGTAAACTTGTACTGTAGACAAATTTGTTTTGGAGAGTGTTCTCCTGTAACAGTAGATAGATATACCGGTGCCAAAATAGGATAATATCAAAGTTTAGATCCAACTTATGATCGAGTATAAATCTTAAGATTTTTTTTGCTTTCACAGTACACAATTAATACGCTCCAAACATACAGTTTATTTCTATACTTTGTAATTTTATTTTACACAGATTTTATTCTTCCTTACAAATATAAACCAAACCGCTCGATTACGCTATGGAAACGCCTATTGGAGCGAATTCGCGTTTCACATATCGAACATAAATATTTATTTACAATGGATCTTTTCGTTGAAGAATCGAGAGACACATACAATGAATTTTTTTATTTTTCACACATACATTATTATATTATAATTTCTTCGCGAATGAGACTTAATCTATATATACATATATATACAGGAATTATTATTTATATACATCAAATAAAGAATGTATATATACAATATATATTTACAAACAAATAAATTATAATCTGTGTCGCATTGAATATTAATAATTGAATATTAATAATAATAATTTGCATGATGTAATCAGGCACTTCATCGAATTTAATTACCTCCCAAAATACAAAATGTACGCGTGTCTAGGAAAAAGTCTTCCATTCTAAACAATGTTTAATTGAAATAAAAAAGAGGATAAAGAGAAGAAAGCATATTTATATAAAAGAAACCGATTTGTACCGAGCTACTTCAATAATTAAAAATAAACATAAACAAAAATATATAAAGGAGCATAGAACCACTAATGCTAGATGTCTTTTGCATGAATCATATATCTAAAATTCAGATAACAATAAGTAAACGTTTCGGTTTTACCTAACCATTTTCAATACAATTATACTATCTATAAGATACATTACAAACAACTATTATTGTTTAAAAATACAATATAACTCACGCAAAAGACATCCAGCATTAGTGGCTGTATACTCCTTTATATATTTTTGTTTATGTCACGTAGGTTCTAAATTTATTTTAAAAATAAACAATGAAGTAATGTACACTGTTGGTCTCTTAGGAATATATTGTTCTCCATGTATTGTCTTTTACTCTATTTTTAAGAATTGATTGATCACATAATAATCTATTTATTATGTCTTTTCGTTTAACTTGGCTGAAATGTACTCTTCGTTTCTATTTCGTTTGGAGTTCGCTTCCATGCTTATTTTTAGCGTTATTCTCATTGATGGAAAACATCTTCTTCCAGGTGGGAAACTGAGCAGTCATACTTGCGTATATTATCGGATTGTAGCAAATAGACGATTTTGCGAGGAGCGCTGGCAGCACCGCTATGATATGGGAAGTTTGTACCTGCAATCATACACGTGAGAATTACCTTTCATAAGCCGTAATACATATAATTCTTCGTAGTCTGTTGAAAATAGAGAGCCATGAAATTTATCGAGCTATTGAGAAGCTATCAGTCTGTCAATCATTAAATTCCGATATGACTAGTCATGAGGAAATTGACCTCGTTGCTTGAATAAAAAGATTTTACTGCTGAAATGCGTATGTCGTAATACTATCTAATATTTATTTATGTCACGCAGTGGATTACTGATTTGGACTTACGAATTATAACTTAAAACAATTGATAATCAATTAACAATTAGTTTCAAAATAACTGCTTTATATAAGATCTGTAAAACATCGAATGTTTTGCGATTGAGAATACTTGCGTAAAAATATTGAGTTGCAAGTGCAAGAACGGCATATGGCGACCAAGCAATTAGAAAAGCAAGAATCATTAAGTATACCATCTTAGTGACTTTCTTTTCCCGTCTATTTCTCGCACCTGGAATGACAGATAATCAAGAACAATAATAATGTCAACAAAAATTAATTCTATTAGAAATAATTGAAAGAGAAATTAATTTAAGAATGTTTCGTGAAACGAGTGCTTTAACCCATTTGTCATCGATGCATCAATCTTTCACCAATTTAAAATTAATTTTTTCATTTTTAAAGCAGAAATTGCTTTCAACGTTATTTTAAGGCTTCCACCAGACAGTATGACTAATGTATGTCAATTTTAGGTACATTAAATATAATATTAGGTACATTTATATCGATAATTATGTATGTCGTGTATGTGTGTGTGTATATTTATTAATATTGGCGTATATTTGCCATGTCATTTGGAGCCGTTTTTAAATGAATAAGTTAATTTTCATACGATATTATCGTTTAAAATTTAAAATATTACTCACCTATTTTTTTCCCTATTTTCTTTAAAGTCTTTATTATGCTGTAGTAGCTACTGGTGATTATTATGACGGGAAGAAAAAATCCAAAAATAAATAAAAATCCGATATAAGTGTCGTTGTGCGTCTCAGGATCATGTATTTCCCAGGATACGCTGCAGGATATGTTACCTGCCTCCGGGCCGTAAGTCCCCCAATTGAAAAACGGTGGTAACGATAAGGAGAGCGCATACATCCAAACCAAGAACGCCAATATGTAAGCATGCCTGTAATAATTAATTTTTATAAGTAAATATTTTACTTAGGACAGTTTAAAGAAATATTCATAGTATTATAAGAAATTAAAATATTTGAAAATATATATATTTATAGTCTAATATTTTTCCTTCTGTAGCAAAAAGTCTTGATATAATTTTTTAACAATTTTAATTTTTTTATTTTATTACTATTATAAATACTTCGATTATAAATTTGATAAATTATATACACATTGATTTAAAAAATCTATACTTTAATTTTTCAACTTTGGTTTTTTCATTTGACAATTTATAGTCAATTTAATATCTCAAATAAATTGAGATATTAAACTGATTACAATGAATATTTTTCTTAATTATTTGTTTTTTCTTATAATGAATTTTGAAATTATTAATTTTTTTTTAGTTGACATATAAATAAACAATTATTATAATAAATAAGTTTTGCTTGATATATATCAGCGTTTGCGTAAAGTTATCTGCGCTTAACTCTTAGTGCCGTTTTCTTTCCAAGTTTATATTTGAATAGTACAGGAGTTTTTGTTATTTAAAAGACAGTTACTACCTTATTTAAACAATGATTATATCATTAATCATTGAGTGTTAATTATTTTATAGTATGGAATTCTAACTTATTATTAGTGAAACGGTTAACTCGTTAGTAAAATCATAGGTTTACTGTTAAAGCGGATTAAAAGTCCGCTCTTTTGCTTGGTTATACTACCACTTTCTCGTGCATAAAATAGGATTCCATCGATAACAAGAGGATCATTTTTAAGCCATCGTTAATTGCGAAGGCCTGAAAAATAAATGGCCTTGAAACAGTGGCAAGACACGATGATACTGCGTTTTTTATATATCAAAAGATGATGTCCTTGCTGTATAATAAGTGAAAGACGTAATACTGTGTTATCGGTTGGGTATTAGAGTGACCTTCGTTTAATATTACTTAACATTATATGCAAGTCACTTTATGGTTTGTTGTGAAGAAAATAAGGTTCTGTAAAGAAAATGCACGTTTTATGTATATATAATGTAATACTACTTAGTTCTAACATTCTTTTATCATTTAAACATGTTTTGTTACTTGCCCGCCTTCTATACATGTGATGGGAGAAATGAGAGAATGTGATGCAATTAAAATCCATTGCAAACTCGTGCAAATTACATTTTAAAGGTGTTAATGATCACCTCGTAGACGTGATGAGCAACATCACTTCCCGGAGAATGTTCCGATGAAAGTGTGCGATAGAAAGTCGAGGAATGCGCAAGTTAATCATTTCTCCGTGTTGGCAACTTTTGTATTATAATCGTTACGTATCATCGTGAAAAAGAAAAGATTATTTTTCGGAAGTAAAATTTTACGAACAGAAAAAAGCGGGTTTTTTTCTACTGAAAATATGCTTTTCGTATGTTAATCATAAAATAAAAATTTATTTAGTTTTTCAGAGCGTGTTGAAGATAAATTGATCAGATAAGTAAGACAAATATATATATGTATATATATATATATAAAGTGAAAATCGCGACTGAGAAATTACATTTATGTATATAGAATATATGTGTATTTTTGCTCATATAGTTTTTGTACATGTAGTTTTGTTCTCTGAAAAGTGTGCAAAGAAGAGAAATCGATAATTTTTTACCTTATTGATAATGTCTTCATCGGACAAGTGACTAACAGAAATCTCTCCAGTGCCATTACCGTCAGATTACCGATACTGGCAAATCCCATTGTAGTCATGAACCACGCGTACCTAAGTTAAAAAATTTATTTGAATTTTATAATTAAAAGAATAAAGAATATGATTCTTTAGTCTTTCAAAGAATTGAGTAGAATATTCTATAAAGCAGATTATTCGTGAATTTATCTTGAGTTCGTTATAACTTTTGTTATGTTCGACGAGATGCGTGTTATTAAAGCAACTCTGGCCGGTATTCATAATCGATTCTTATTTTTAAGATTGTCTCAAGTACTGTCTTAAGATGTCGAACCAATCAGAGCCGTATTAGCATCTTAAGATATTACTTAAGACGGTCTTGAAATAAAAATGAACTATGAATACTATCCTTTGTTACACACTGCTTATATGAGTTTTTCAAAAGCCGACCTGATCATCTTTATTTTTGTAAATTTTTCAATTTAACATACTTACAGAGCATTGATTGGTGTATAATATTATCAATTTTTTTTCTGTTTCATTTCTATTTGATGTTGATTAATTAGTTTGACTTCTAACAAATTCATATAATACTATTCATTTTATTTTCCAATATATTTAAATGATACAGAAATATTATGTATTAATAAACTTATTTCTGTTGTTTTAGACATAATAGAAAAAAAATTACTTTTCAAGAATAAATGAACAATATTTTATGAATTATTTCAATCTTGCAAAATAATATAAGTGTCTCGAGATATAAGGGTGAACATTTTCAAAACTTTATATTAAGGAAGTCCAATGGATGTACATATAGGACACAATGAGATACTCATTTGACAGTTCAGAGGACATCTAACAATGAAACAAGTTTCTGAACTATAACAGGCAATCACATTATTCGCACTCAGGTAACAGTTCTTAGAACATCCATAAAACGTCTTTGAGCTCTTTGGGATATTTATGCGCAAACTTTCGAGACCAATTTTTATTTGTACGCGATCTGGATGCAGCGATCCATTACAGGTTGTAAATGTTTTGAAACATTCTTTGATTGATTAATTCATAAATATTTTTTCTTCTGATTAATCAGTAAAGCATTTGTATAACGTGTAAGTAAATTGCACCGATTGCACGCAATAAATTTAATTGTCAAGACGAATGATATTTTTTTGTATAATAATGATTGAATAATAATGGGGTGTATACCATAGACATACTTCGTGATTCCAGAACCATTCACCTGCGATGGCTGATGTCATTGCGAAAGGGTTTCCTAGCGCAGCAACTAAGAAATCTCCAACCTATTATAGTAAACACATGTCAAGCAAATATGCTATTTATTCTATTAATCGAATAACACAAAGTATAATTATATTATATGCACTTAGAACCGGTACATCTCCTGAGATAAGTTGGATATGCTGCACTATTTTTATGTTATATAAATGGAAATCATTTACATATTATCAAATATATCGCATTCTTAAGCTTCGTTTCAAACCCCTGAATAAAAGAGTTAAGACCGTCTTAAGTAATATTTTAAAACGATAAATACAACCACATCATAATGCCGTATTTATTATCAAAGAGACGAAGAAGTCAAAGCTGCGAATTAATATCATAAGACAGATTTTAAAATAAGAACCAACTATGAATACCAGTCCATGAATTAACTCTTTTATTCAGACTAAAGTTTTGGAATGTAGTCATAATATCTAATTATATAAGGTTGGTGTGCAGAGATATACTTTGTATTTAAACAAGATTTCGCTGTAATATCGAGACCTGTCTACTTTTCAAAGTTAACAGAAGTTAGCTCCCATTGCGCCCTATCAAGTGGTATGAAGCTTCTGCTTCACGTTGCTCGAATTGGAGTATACCACTAGAGAATTGCTCTATAGAAAGTTCGAAACAAATAACAAAATAACACGAATTTCATTAAACATTTTCAAATAAAAGATAATTAAAATTAGAAAAACAAACTATCAAAATTTATATTATTTTTCATACAAGATACAATATACAAGATAATTGAAATAGAGCAATAATGAATTTTATTTTTAAGCAACTCTGTATATGTGTGTGTGTGTGTGTGTGTGTGTGTGTGTGTGTGTGTATGTGTGCGTTTTATAAGAGTATTATATTTATCATTAATAAATAATTTAACAACATTGTCATAATTATAGGTTTAAAACAGATTTATTCTCTAACACAAAATTTTAGTAAAATTTATATATTATAGGAAAAGAGCATATAACGTTTGATATTCAAAATTTGTCACAGTTCTCAATAATATAACATTTTTTCGTAATCATTAATAAAGAGCATCAAGTTTTTTTTTCATTATCAATTCACCGTGTGACATCGTTAAAAAAATCTCTACTATGTGATGAAACATAGCTGACTGTCACATAAACCTAACCGTTTATAGTCTTTTATCCTTATTTCCTAACTAAGAACAACTTGACATTTCGAAACATGTTTCTCTAATGCTTAAAATGTCTGCTTAAGTAAAAAGTCTCGTATTAATTACTTGCGACTACTCCAGCAGAAAATTGCATGATAATTAAACAGAAACTCAACACTCTTTCGAAAACTAATGAGAAGGAAAAGACGTAAAATATAAAGCACCCTTTGTTCGATATATTTGTAATTTTGTAACCATTAAATTTTATATACTCAATTTTTGAATAATTTTGCAAGTATATTAAAATAATAATTTTATATTTAATAAAATATATATAAACACAATTATGAAAATATACTGAATTTATGGTAAACAAAAAATTAGTGATATAAAGCTAGTATTCACAGATTGCTCTTATACATTTTGAAGATAGTCTTAAATAGATTCTACAATTTAATCATAGGACCTCTTATTAGCATTTTATGAGATATTGTCTAATTGTAAGATCATTTCACAAAATGAGAAACTACGAATCCCGACTTTAGAATTAATGTAATAAGTGACAGTATTTTTGAGAAGATACATTTTTATAGCTTTTTTTTGTCTTAAATATTAATCATTTTTTGAAATCCTCTTTCAGAAAAATGTGTATTTAAATTACTTACATATATAAATACTTATACATCAATTAATTGTACAATGTATGTAAAACATACCTAAATGTAAAAACTTGTTTTAAAAATATTATTTAAATATTTATATTTACTCTGATAATAATTATGTACTGTAATATTATTCTAAAACGCAACGTTAATCCGTCGTATTATATTTTGCTTGATCAAGTTAGATTTATTTTAATTCCATTTCCTCACAGCAAGGCTGTATATTTTACCTTAGTACATTTACGTATCTCTGTTTACAAAGACTTAATGTCGATATTTTTATCATTTATTTTTTAATATAATACTGTTTTGACAGCATTACTAAGTATTCATATTTATAGATCAAACTCCTAAAATATCTATAATTTTTTAAAATCACATTATGAAATATTATAAGTTATTATGCATAATGAAGTTTCACTAACTTCAATAAATTACATAAATAAGGCTTTAAAATATTTAAGTAGTTGAAAATTTTATTACTGAAATAAAATTGTTATTTAAAAAACAATTTCAAATTTTATACTTAAGAATTTACAGGTCACCATAGTTCGATTAATTTAAGGCAGAAAGAGGGAGAAAGAATATATTTTCCCAGAAAAAACTGATGACACAACTTTATAAAAAATGCATGAATGGAAACTAATAGATATTAGACTGAAAAATTATGAAATTTACAAAACGTTAGAAATTGCAAAAGGCGAATATTTCATATAAAGTCGCACTTTCATATTTGTAAAGATCATCAAGCAGACATGGAACTCTCTAATTTTTATTTTTATTGCAAAAAACAGAAAATTTCACAATTTTTTAGTTACGACACAGAGGTTGTCGTAACTCTACAAAGTTACCTTTCATTCACGTATTTTTTTACAGAGTTATAACATCGACCTTTTTGATAGAGATAATTTACTTAATGTTACTTGGATTGTAATTTTAAGTTATTTGTATAAACTATATTTTGAAGAAGCTAATAAAATCGTTTATTATACATATAAATAAAAGATACTCACGACCATGTTGACAAGGATCACATTATTGGGAGTCCACAGTATACTGGCATTTTTGACGACCGTTACTATGACCAACAGATTCAAAACAAAACCAAAAAAACCGATAAAGCCCAGAACGATCGCTGCGAAAATATAGGTACCGGTTAACGATCGTTCCTCGAGAATAAAAACGTCGTCCGATAGATTGGCGCTTAGATTCGACGACATAGTTCTTATCGTCGTATATAGAACTTCCGGTGTCAATCTTTGGCGAACGGAAACCTCACTCCACAGTAAGACGAAGACCAGTAAGAAGAACGGACCTCGATTTGACGAGGAACAGTATGATCAACGCGACTGCGTCGTCGGAAGTTCGTCAAAAAACACTCGTGAGAAACGAGCGATGACAAACGCGATGTGTCCGTCCCAGTCGCATTAATCAAAACTAGTGACTGAGTTCCGAAGTCAAGCTACCCTTATATATAAGCTCGTTTTACGCCGTTCCCGCCGCACATCCCTCTGATCGCTGTCCAACGAAAACCAACCCCCAACGTGAAAAAGCAGGGTCATGCGCGCAGGTCAATCAGAATTCTCGCTATGTGTTCCGACACGCTATTTTCAGGTAATTTATGAGATTTACTTTGGTACTATTTTATCTCGAGTTTTATTCGATATTTGCAATCTGAAACTGATTTCAATGATCCTAAACTTTAACAGTTTTAAATTCGTTTCTCGTTACCTATTAATTAGTTGATGTTGAAGAAACAAAATTTGATTACCATCGGAGTAATTGGATCGGTTTATTTTAACCAGGGATGGGGGAAAGTTACTTTGCAAAAGTAATTAATTACAGTTACAGTTTTCCTCTTTCAAAAAGTAATTAATTACCGTTACAAGTTATTGACTCAGAAAAGTAATTCGTTACAGTTACTGAAAAAGTAACTCTAAATTACTTTTAAATTACTTTTGAGTTACCTTTTTTCATCGAAATGTTCACTAGCAGCACATCAATATCATTAGGGTTGCATTCAGAAACGTTACTCGATTACCTTCGTGTATATCGTTTTACCTTGTTTTTCACTTAATATTAAACAAGGATGATACACGAGGTAATCAGAGTAATGCAGCCTAGGACAGTTAAAAAGAAGACTGATTTACATTTATATGTCATACAATTTTATTCAAAAATATAAGAAAATTGTATGGCAAAGACGTTTTCTGTTAAAATAATATAAATTACTTTAATATTAATTATAATATTAAATATTGTTACGTGATTGCGTTCAGAAAACAACGGCTCAGTAATCAGGTGCATTTAATATTACAACTATTCATTAAACTTTCTTGCATTTGATTGACGGATTTCATTAAATCCAAAAATATAGACCGAACAAATACAAGGGTTCATTGAACGTTTTAATTAAATTTCTTTCTTCTGATTAATATTTTATTCTGAAAAATATTTCAAAGCATTTGTCGCGCCAAGTGGACACTACCGCACACTAAGGCTGCTTTCCAGCTACGACACAAGTAGACACTGTGCAACACAGTGAATCATTGCATCCTTGTTGTTTGCCTACGTTAAACGAGGATGACACGATTCTCTGTGTTACACAGTGTCTAATTCTGTCCTTGCTGGAAAGCACCCTAAATTGACAAATAAGTTTAAAATATATAAAATATGAAAATAACTATTAAATTAATTACACTAATTACTTAAAAAATGTAACTAAGTTACAGTTACTGAAAAAAAGTAACTCTAATTGTGTAACTCCGTTACGAGTAACGAGTTACTTCCCATCTCTGATTTTAACACATTACTTATTTCCGTTAATTTAACTAATATCTACAGGAAATTTAGTTATTTTGAGTAAAATTGGTTAATGTACAGATAAATCTGCAATTTTATTTATCTTTTGTCTGCCTGTAATCTTATGGCTGTTTCTATCAATGTAAATTAACTTATTCAATCTCAGTTCAACTTTTTCTAATTCTTAAAACTAGAAAAAGATGAAGAATTATTTGGACCAAATTAAAATTAAACTATATAGGTAGGAACGGCCATTAAAACTGGAAAAAACAATTAAATTGAATTTAAAATCTACATCAGTAAAGCCTGTAATCTTTCATATACGTCAATTGGAGAAAGAATTTTGATTCAAAAATCTAAAGTCTATGTTGTCTGCGGAATACGTTTTTTCGTTTGTGTTTACGTATACAATAACTTGATACCACCACTATTGCGTAGTACTGTAGTCATTGTGCAGACAATTGCGCGTCTTCGTGCAGATGAAATTCTATCTATTTCGCTCAAGTTACAAAATACGACATCTTGTAAAATAATAGTTATTTTCTACGGAAAAATATGACGTTCTTTGATTTTCCGCGTATGTAAATTTATTTGGTAATCATAAGATAAGTCTTTCATATCTTTTTTTTTCTTATAAAAGCATACTGTAAAAATTAAAATCTTAAGGAACAGTAAGGACTTATGTATGTATATATACACATATAAGTATATATAGGTATATATATATATATCTTATAGGTATATATATATATACCTTATTATTATAGGTATATTATTATAGGTATATATATACATATATATAATC